TTTTCCACCTAAAAAAATGTTTCAGAAACTTTGTTTAGGAAACATTCCCTAGTGTATGAACGCCTTAAGTTATATTCAAAGTTTAATTAAAAAATTGCGGCCTGTTTGTAGATTACTTTATTAACGTCGGTTATCGTCGATATCGGGATGCAATTTTATTACTTTGAACGTATTTTTGGCCCCATGTAATGTTAAGCCAGTTGTCAAACCGACTGGGCAACACAGGCTAATGTACATGAAAAATTACCCGGCCTGCATTAACCTGCACTGACCTGCATTAACCTGCACTGACCTGCACTGACCTGCATTGACCTGCAACCTGCCGTTTAGACCAACCTGCACCGACTACAACCTGCATTAACCTGCAACCTGCAGTTTAGACCCTCCGCGTGGCGGGCGCGGGCGAGTAAAAACCGGTAAAAACCCGATGTTTTGAAAAACTCAGAATAAATATATTTCTACTGGCCGTATTCAAACGAAATTATCCACACGAAAGCGCTTGAATACAAGGAGTATTTCACTCAGATTGACCTGTGTGGAATTCCGAGGAGTTCAAGAGATATTCAAGATTTTCTTGACCTGAAATACAGAATATTTGGCCAAGCGGTGAGTAAAATACACGATTGTTTTGGTTTGTGTAATGTTATGACGGCACTTGACCCCCGGTTCGAAAGGTAATTTTATGAGGATTTCAACGGTGGTTTCCGTTTTGAAAGGGGTAAATACTCGTTGAGATATTTACATCGGAAGCAATTGAATGAAAAATATGACATTTATCGCCAAACGATAAAGAGTTAAGAGTTTTCATTTTGTCGAAGACGTTAGATAATGAATCACAAAAAATGTAGACGAAGATATACGCTTTGTAGTTTTAATTCATGGTAGTTTCACGCTGTACATTCACACTGTAGTATTGTAGTGTTGAGGTTGACCATCTTGAACAATTTTCGTGTCTTTCTTGCAAAAACCTAGTTAAAGGAGATTTGTTACTCGCATTGATTTTTTTTTAATTTTTAATAACTTATATTGTCAAAACTTAAAAAAAACAACCCAAAAACATTATGCATGCTTAGTAATACAGTTATTTTCTTATTTGGTACTATAAGTTGTATAGTCCCATGTGCTGTGTCAAATGCAACTATAGTCTTGCTTCTTTGTATATATTGTAATTACTGTAGGTCATCTAATTTTTAGAGGGCCATTTGGTAGAATACCTTCTCAGGTAAAAATGTATATTTACCCTCATCAAATAAAGTTTATTATTATTATGAGGTGGTGAGGTGTTGGTTCGAACTGAAACGCGACAACAAAAAAGAACTAACTTAATAACGAACTAATATAACTATGGAATTTACGCATGCACATGATAACAATAACAAACCTAAATAATAACAACAATAACTAGAGGGCACTCAGAGACTGCATACCTCCGCCCACATTAAATTTCGGTCGTGTGGAATGCAACTAAGACAATAGTTGTGAAGACACTAAGACAATTAGGGCTGAAGCTTAATGAGGTTTATCATCTCATTGTCTTCTTAGTACTGCGTGCATACATTATACACGTCCTAATTACGCATTCAGTGAGTTTTTTATAATTGACCGGGAAAATGCTTCAAAAAATTTCGTATGAATATGTTTGGTATTTCTTGAGTTATCGTGCTCACAGACAAACACACACACATACACACACACATACACACACACATACACACATACAAACCCAGATGATTACATAACCTCCTGGCGAAGGTAAACAAACCCAGATGATTACATAACCTCCTGGCGGAGGTAACAAACCCAGATGATTACATAACCTCCTGGCGGAGGTAAAAACTCAGATGATTACATAACCTCCTGGCGGAGGTAATTATAAACTTACGTACTTTGGTTTAGACTTGTACCAATTATAGCGATTATGATTAGCGTAGAGTATAAAGTCCCTTGAACTTCGGTAGCGATTTTTACTGTATAGTACTGTTCGATTGATTTAACAATGTTCATACTAGTCACGAACTATGTCTATAGATATATCCTAAAGGCATTTCCGCAGTAAACAGATAAGCGCTATGCTAAATAAAGTTCTATTCATGCTAGATAAGGTTCTATTCATGCTAACCTCGTCTTAGATAATAATTAAATTGTAAACAATGACACAATGAACGTTTCAAGCCAACAAATAGGATACACTAGGGATAAATTAGGATAGTGGTAGACACTAATAGGCAAATGAAACGCTACATATATTACTCATCGCACTCTCTATCAGGTTTTTCAGTATCTGGTTACATTAGAGCCGGAACTGACGTGAAGCAGACCGAAGTAGACTGTGAGTTTACAAATGGCGCTATATTTAAACAGCCGCTATTACTTCATTCCTCATTAATGATCTGCCCCCTGACCTATGTGCCTAACCCACCCTGTCAACTTTCCCTGCGGGAGGAAATCGGAGTACGCGGAGAAAACCCACCACTTTCGGCAGAGCGTTGAATTTTACTCTTTTCACATGAGGACTGGGTTCGAGTCACATTGAGGAATTCTCATTGACATTTGAACCTGCAACCTGAGAGGTGAAAGGCAAGTGCGCTAACCACCTCGCCAATACAATTCGCCGATAACAGAGAATCACGGGGGAGAGATGAGGCAATAGAGGGATAATTTTTATACAGAACGAATGAAATTTTTAAAAACAATTAACAATAAATTAAACTAAAATTCGGCCACAAGCTTTGTTGATAATATATATCCCGTATCCCGCTAAATCATCGGGGTTACTTTCCCGCATCTCGCCTTGATTTTTTTGTTAGTCCCGCTTCCCGAGATGATATTAAATCCAGGCGCGTAGCCAGCCCCATACGAATGGGGGGGGGGGGAGGGGTCTAAAGCGCCAAGTACATTTTTCAATTTTAATGTTAGCGAGACGCTCCCACGTGCATATTTGGCGTGGCTTTTTGGTGATCTATATGCCACAGATTTGGTATCTTTAATTTTATGCCATACATGAAATATTTACGAGATTTAACAAAGCATGTGCGTAATAAACTAATAGTAATAATATGACACGTCAAATTAATAGACAAAACAAAGTTTTAAGAACTTGTTACTAAGTTGAGAAATGCTTTAGTGCATTTTAAAATCACTTTCTTTTTTAAACGATACACATATTATACAACATTTACACGAACGGGAATCTAATTTGTGTTCCGTTTCAGGAATATAACCGCTTTCATCTAACTTTTAGATATGATAGTGGAAGTTTTCTAGGCTTCAAAGCAATTGTATCGACAAGAGAACGCAACTTAATATCTTCGGCTTGTAGACGGCTACGGTTGGTTGGTTGCCCTCGTGTAATTAATCGTTGATAATTTTAACTTTGCTGAGGCATCTTTCGCACGAAGCTATTGCAATCGGAATTATGGCTGCTGTACAAATGATTCTGTGAAGGTTTAGGTAAAGGCCAGCGTAATCACTTTAACCAAACTTCTTTAATATTAATGGAAGGTAATGGTTCTTTCACCCCTCTTTGCGTTCTTAGAAGGTAAAGGTTCTTTCACCCCAGTTTGAAGTTGCACTTGTTGCGGCTTGAAATGCAGCCGTTGTATCAAGACGTGAAAATCTGTGATTTCGCGTTGTAAACAGAGCGATGACTAAATTATTCATATATTGTAATTACTCAATTCTTTTCAATAACTTATTGTATTGGTAGCCGTTGCCGTCGCGTTGCCGTCCTAAATAGTAAAGTCTATATTATTATCACTCCAACGCGCTGGATTGAATGCAGATAATTGTACCAATACTGAAAATCGCCTCTTCAGCTCCCTCAGCAGCAGATCAAGCAGACAATAGTAAAAATCAGTACGAAATTTACTTTCTGCTGACACTGCATAATTCATGTTGTGCTGTTTTGAGATGAGGAGGCAACGTGGTGACTGAATGATACATCAAGCAATGTTTCATCAACGGTCGATCAGCTAGACGATTTGGAAGCGTTCTACGGCGTTTGTTACTGGGATCTCTAATCTTCAACGTTATAAATTCGACTGCCTTGGATTCAGCAGTACGCACAAACTCGGCAAATTATTCCTCATTCCGGAAGAAGAAAATCTAGCGATTAGCGAAGTTACCGCATTTACAGCGATCACTAAATCCATTTCTTCTCTCTGAAGATATTCTGAAGCGTTGCATCAAACTAAGCTGTACATAACATACTGGATAGCCTGCGAATGCAAATACGCAATAATTTCAATTTAATGACGACAATTGATTTCTTTAAAAATATTTGCAACTTGCACCCCCCCCCCCAGTTTCTTCTCATATTTGGAAGAATTACAATATTGATCTTTACAAAAAGTGGGGGGTCCGAAACCCCCCCCATTCCCCCCTTGGCTACGCGCCTGATTAAATCCCATTTCCCGACGCACATTATTCTTAAAATCCCGAATACCGCTCGAAATTATGGTCCATCCCACCACCCCGCAAAACCGGTACAAGACCGTCTTGCGTGCTATATTTCCCCATCTCTGTCTGCTGGCATTTCATAGTCAAATGCGGCGGCTAAATAAACTAAGTGCCTCACATGCAGTGTTATCAAAACAGACACTGTACAATCTTTGTTTTATTAACTGTGGTTAGTTAAAAATCAAAATGCCTTGCATATAATATTTTATACTATCGTTGAATCCCCCCCTGTAAATTATGATTATGTATTTCTCGTGTGCTGCAAAATGCTCTGATTTTCATAAATTATGCACGGTTCCAGGTTCTGGTTCCTGTATTGCTGTATCGTTGTATCGCTGTATCGCTTTTTTGTCGTAGCCACTTTGCACTATACTTGGGGTCCCTAAGTTTTTGTTTAGTTGTCGCTTCTCTCTTTTCTTTTGTGAAATTAAAAAATTAGATTTACAGTTCAGTGTTGGCAGAACTTGCACAATAATAAAGACATGCTTACAACTTATGTGACGTAATCTTATTTAATATATATTCCAAACTTCCCTGTAGACATGAATGCTGACAAAGCTAGATCAGAATCGCGGCCATCAACCGCAACTGAGAGGAATAAAAAAGGAAAACCGCAGAAAAAACAATCAGTTTATAAAGGGAGAGATCGAAAAAAGGTAAGGTTAAAGACACAAATAAATTATAATGAAACAAGCGCTGTGATGGATCAAGCACGCATGAGTTAAACAGATACAGCGAAATATAATATGTGGGATTAAGATGCGTATACTTTCACGCTGGTAACCTAGTTTCTAGTTTCTAGTTTTCATTATTATATTCACGAAGAAGTCAGCCCATGCTCCTGTTATACATCATATTATACAATATACTAATTGTATCCATGAAAAATTACTTGATTCTGATTCGCTATAAAGAAGTGCAATTTTATCAAAATAAAGTGTCAAAACAGACATATAGGCTACATGAGTGCCATTTTGCATCTGTTTCATGCATGCAAGTGACTATCAATTCCTTCATCTATATTCCCCGGCGCGGAGCGCCGTTCGTCAATGATCGGGGGCGGGACCAGCGATCTTGAGTGGGTGGTCATCCTCACTGATCTCAAAAATATGGCTGGTTGCTTGTAGGAGTGTGATAAGCAGGATTTCAGTTTCAAAAGACATATATTTGGAAAATCGTTTCATATACAACAAGCTTGAAGCAATTTTGTTTGAAGAAATGAGAAGAATTGATTTACGAATCTTTCAACTAATTTGCAGTTTTGTTCAAAAAATATGAAAAAATTAAAAATTTAAATATCGTGTTGTCATGGCAACACTTGGGGGCGAACGTGCGTTCAATGTTGGCCATTTCTGAATAATTCATGTAAATTTAATGTTAGGAAAATATTGGCGAGGGGTTACTGATTGCATGTATTTTTAGTATATTATATGGTAAGTAGGCGTAATGGTAATGGTTTCTTATCCAATTTGGCAAAACAAATACTCGTGAGTTTTCAGACACATCAAATTCCACTCGCCCCTTTGGTCTCTTGCAATTTTGATCGTCTTTAAAAACTCACTCCTCGTGCATGTTTTTCGAAATTGCACTCGAAACCATACTATTACCCACCTACATAAACAATGGTGTTTTCAAGAATAAAACAACCAGACTATGTAATCGAATAAGCACAAGATGAATATTTTGTGTGCTCATCTCTCCACAGGATCGAGGATCACGTGCTAATACTGAAGAAACTACAGGAAGAAGTTCAGGTACAGTATGTTTAAAATTAAAGGGTATAACTAATTAGCGGAACTGCACACCACGGAACTGTGAAACTTGCCCAAGCAGCTGGACTCAATAATATCACCTTTTTCTTCCGGTGAAAACATAGGGGCTCAAAAACTATCAGTAACAAGTGTAAAATAATCAAAAGAATAAACTTACTTTGAAAGATTTGTATAAATTCTTCGTAAGAATTGATGTATATATTGTGTTAATGTTGGACAAAGCGGGACAGCAGGAGCGATGGGGGATAGTTAAAAAGAGCGGAAAAGGACGGAGAAAAAAGAAACATTACATTGTATACTATGGGTTGATATCATTAAAAGAAACGAACAAACCAGTTTATATTTGGCGACGAGGATTAAAAAAATCACTTATCCCGACACTGACTACGTCACAATCAGATATATACAACTAAAAAGCACCAAAAGCTGAAATACCGACCACTATGGCGGCCATGACGAGCACATCAACACTATATTTTGACCCTGATCTTCATTCAGACGACACTTTACCTGCTTTTGACGAATTTATCCAGAGCTTCGAGCTCCAATATGATGCACAATATCCTGATCCTCCTAAAACATCTCTAGATGCGGCTATTGAACGATAGAAACTCGCAAACGACGATAAAAAGCCAACGCTTGATGACTATGACAACATTCGCGACGAATGGCGATCAAAAGATCGCGTGACAAAACTCCTCGGTATATTCTCATCGAGACGATTGTTTACTGACTGGAAAGTCGCAGAACCGGATGATTCCAAAAGAGCTAAGGTGACGTGGAAATATTTCGTGATAACAATGCAACAGCACTACAAACCAACAGAAAATCTTACACTTAAAAACCACCAGTGCCGGTCTTTGGCACAGAACGCCCATGAGTAATTTCCGACATTTTGCAATCGCGTATATAAAGCAGCTCAACACTGCAATTTCAAATGCCACAATGACGATTGCACTGCCAAGGACACAGCTATACGTGACCAGATTATTATTGGCAATACACATGACAAGATCAGAGAGGAAGCCCTCAAAAATTCATGGGACCTCCAACAATTACGCAAGGAAGGAATGCGGATTGAAAGTGCCACCAAAGGACTGGAAGAGCTCAACAATGAAAATACAGTCAACAAAATGGGTAAATACTCCTTTAAAAACATGAAGAAAAAACCTGAGACTGGAAAGCCCCGGTCATGTTACTACTGCGGACAAGACATCAAGACATCCGTTATTGCTCACCTCAAATCCTGCAGAGCACGAACCAGCAAATGTAACTTCTGTGATGCAATTGGCCACTATGAAACTGTATGTCGGAAGAAGAAAGCAATCAATGAACTGAAAAACGACTGCGAACAACAAGAACATCAAATCGAAGATTATGACCACAGCGGCGTCTACAGCATCAACATCTTCAGAATAAGCGAAACACCTCAGCAACAACCTCCTCATAAGAGACGCATGAAAACCAGAGATTTCAACGCACAAGTCATCATCAACAATAGCCTTGCAAAAGTGTTTGCTGACACAGGTGCGAGTATCAGCGTCTGTGGAAGAGAGGAAGCGCAAAAATGGAACCTCCTGTCCAGAATGGTCCCAACCACGCCCAAGATCAAGCCATATAACAGCCCGACAATACCAGTTATTGGAATTGCCAAATGCGCTGTCACATTTGGCTTCACATCCATTCCAGTTGCTTGGCACATAATTGATACACCATGTGAACCTGTACTTGCAGGACAAAGTGCAGTACAACTGGGGATCATCCAGTTTGACCCTCAGCCCGAAGTTTACCAACCAGTACAGATGATCCAGTGTAGCAAAAAGGAAGCGCTTCAAGACATCTTAAAGAAATATCCGCAGAATTTTGAAGGGCTTGGAAAGTTGAAAAACCACCAAGTTAAACTGCATGTCAACCCCAGTGTTAAACCCGTTGCCTCTCCAGCTCGACCAGTGCCATATCACTTGAAGGAACGTATCAAAACTGAGATTGACAAAGATGGTAGCCCAAGATGTCATTGAAGAACATCCACCAACAGTACCAGCACCTTGGGTGTCAAACGCAGTTATTGCACCCAAATCGGACGGCGCCATTCGTATGACCCTTGACGCTCGCAATGTGACTAAAGCGATCCAAGCTTCCAACCTGCCCATCCCAAGGCAAGAAGACGTTAAAGCTAAACTTAGCGGAGCGAAGGTGTTCTCGAAGATGGACTTTAAATCAGCATTTTGGCAACCTGAACTCCAGCGAGATTCCCGGTACCTTACGGTGTTCCACGCAAACGATAAACTATACCGATATAAGCGACTCACCATGGGCGTAAAGCCAGCACAAGGAGAACTTAACATGGCTCTTCAACCGCTTTTCGCACATATTCCACAAGCACACCTCATACATGATGACCTTATTGTTGCAACGAAACCAATGCAGAACACCATTCCGCGATTACTGCCGTCATGCAAGCCATCACTAACGCTGGTATAACCCTTAATCCAAGCAAGAGTAAAAAAAGAACGTAAAAGGACGGAGAAAAAAGAAACATTACATTGTATACTATGGGTTGATATCATTAAAGGAAACGAACAAACCAGTTTATATTTAGAATGTCGATATAAATGGAGAAAGAACGAAAAAACATTTCTGTGAAGTGTTATAGAATCTTCAAGAGGTAGGTAATGCGGGCGCGTACGGGGTAACAACATAATTAATGATCCCCGACCAACGGCACGGAGCGCCGTGACAGGGTGCTAATTCCAACCCGGCTATTTACCCCCGGGGAAAAGAAAGCATTAATGAAGTCTAAAGTTCATCAATAATCGCGGGCGTGGTTCACTGTCGGTGTGGTCCTATTCATTGACCTCATAATATAGCGGATTGTCACGAATAGCCAACACTGATTTGTCCAATTTAAAATTTGCATTATGACGACTGCATGACGACAGCGAAATAGCAAACATATCTTGATTTGATGGTTTCTTGCAAATATATTTCGTTTTTGTAAGATTTTGTAAATTTCAAAAGCCTTTTGATAAAATAAAGGGAAAATAATTACTAAAAGAAGAGAGAAAAGGTGCTGACGTTAACGAAAGTAAGTTTGTTTTAAATATTGATGTATTGCTTCCACGCCAATCGTTGCGTATATAAATAAAAAAAGACAGCATATGTATAATTTCAGTGTATCTTTATTAATTATCCTTTTTATTATATTAAATATTTAAATAAAAAGACAACAAAGTTATTTGAATGCGAGAATTTGAAATATTTTTATTTCAAACTCAATGTTTATCGATAAAAGGCAGTTCAGTTTTAAGAACATTTTAAAACGTTTTTTTGAAGCGTTTGTGGTCGAATTCTACCTTAAATTGAAGTTATGATGCGTATAATAAAACATATATACCCGACATATATATGTTTGGGAAATTGACAGTTTTATAATTAAAAGTGATATTTTTAGGACATTTTTCATTTTGGAAAAGATTTTCAAAGCAAAAGTTTAAATAAGTTTTAAAAAAGTTTTAAAAAGTTTAAAAAACCAAAAAAGGTTTCAAAAGATAGGTTTTCAAAACCCAGCGCATTTCCATACTCAGCGCAAGCAGAAAAATGTCTTAAAATTTTCAGTCTTAAAATCCGTCTGACCGTGTAGCTCAGTTGGTAGAGCGTCGATCTAGTAATTCGAAGGTCGCGGGTTCAAGACCCAGCCGCGGGAGACAACATCTTTCTGCTTGAGCTGGGTACGGAAATTATATAATACACACTCTAGAACATTTTCATCTTAACATATTACGGAGTGTACAATTACACAACTTAACATATATATAAGAGAAATATATTCATAAAATGCTCTAGTGCTCAGAGAAATATATTCATAAAGTGCTCTATGATTACACAACTTAACATATATATAAGAGAAATATATTCATAAAGTGCTCTAGTGCTCAGAGAAATATATTCATAAAGTGCTCTATGGAGCCTGTCCAGAGCTTCCATAAAATTGAATGAAACCATCGTATTCAAAATAGCATATTTATTCAGTTACTAAATAGTTTCGTACAGACTGGCTGCACTCGTCAGAATAAAATGCTAAAATACTAATAACATGTATATATGGTGAAAAACAGGAAGTTGTATAGTCCCTAAGGTCGTTATTATGCTGATAGAGATAAAATTATGTTGACTATAAAATTGCTCTATTATCCAAAATTTTCTAATTAAGAAGTCTATTGTTCTATGTTATAAAATTTCTAAGGATAAAATTATTTGCGTTCGGGCACGCGGAAACAAGTTCATTGCGTTTGTTTAAAGTGGAGAGTTGAGGTTTATTAATTATAAAATATTTCTCACATAAACATAAATTACATCTATTAGTGGCAGGGTCGTATGGTTTCGCTTGCTTCAAGATTTTCCAAGTGATCTGGTATTCAGCCTTACTGTTATTTAATTCCCAAATATGCTTGCTAAGTTCTGTGTTTGATTTCTTCGCTTCGTTATTAAATGTGCATTTGTGGTTGTAGAATCTCTTCTTGAAAGTGTTAGCAGTGAGACCGACCTACGTTTGCTCCTGGTTGCTCTCGCTGTTAGCTACTGTGGCTTGATAAATAACTGATTCCTTCAAACATTTCTTGTCTACAGGGCAATCTTCTGGCTTGTTGCAGTTGCATGTTTCTCATCCGGTACACTTTCGGTCTGTTTGGTCAAAATGCTTTTATTATGTACATCAATTATATGTTTAACGTTTGCCGTTTGCTCACCTTAACCGTGTTCCGGTTGAATATTTTGCTCAGAGGATGGTCTTTCGGGAATTATTCGTCCAATATCTTGAGAAATTCACGCCCGATGTTTGTAGATACGTTTCTGCTATATGGGGGGTTGTACCAGATGATTCTTCTCGTACGGTTTCTACGTTGTTTGTTCGACTGGGTTGTAACAGGCGGCTCATATCTCAGCTCATAGTCGTATCCACTTTCATTTATACTTTGTTGGTATGGGGATACAGCTTTTTTAAAAGTCTCTTCGTCTGACGATATTTCGGAAAGCCTTTTGTAGATGGATTCCGGTATGTTCTTCAATATGGTGGGTTTTATGTCCATCAATTATATGTTTAACGTTTGCCGTACATCCGTAGCTCACCTTAACCGTGTTCCGGTTGAATATTTTACTCAGAGGATGGTCTTTCGGGAATTCTTCGTCCAATATCTTGAGAAATTCACGCCCGATGTTTGTAGATACGTTTCTGCTATATGGGGGGTTGTACCAGATGATTCTTCTCGTACGGTTTCTACGTTGTTTGTTCGACTGGGTTGTAACAGGCGGCTCATATCTCAGCTCATAGTCGTATCCACTTTCATTTATACTTTGTTGGTATGGGGATACAGCTTTTTTAAAAGTCTCTTCGTCTGACGATATTTCGGAAAGCCTTTTGTAGATGGATTCCGGTATGTTCTTCAATATGGTGGGTTTTATGTCCATCAATTATATGTTTAACGTTTGCCGTACATCCGTAGCTCACCTTAACCGTGTTCCGGTTGAATATTTTACTCAGAGGATGGTCTTTCGGGAATTCTTCGTCCAATATCTTGAGAAATTCACACCCGATGTTTGTAGATACGTTTCTGCTATATGGGGGGTTGTACCAGATGATTCTTCTCGTACGGTTTCTACTTTGTTTCTTGGACTGGGTTGTAACAGGCGGCTCATATCTCAGCTCATAGTCGTATCCACTATCATTTATACTTTGTTGGCATGGGGATGCAGCTTTTTTAAAAGTCTCTTCGTCTGACGATATTTCGGAAAGCCTTTTGTTCATGGATTCCGGTATGTTCTTCAATATGGTGGGTGGGTGGTTTGACTTATTGTGTACATATCGTGGCACGTTGTTGGGTTTGGTATATGGCATGTACTTTCCATTCTCCAGATCTAAAGTAACGTCTAAGAAATTTATTGTGGTTTTATTTGCTTCAATCGCGATTTTTAGTCCGTGATTCTTAAAAAGTGCACATATGCCCTTTTTAATTAGTTCGACTCTCCGAGGTGTGTCCTTCGAAATTGCGAGTCAATCATCCCTGTAGAGACCGAATGTGTTGCCATATCTCGTTGAGATTTGGTGTAGGAGATACGCTCCTACCAACTCGCAGGTCTCAGCACCATCGTGACTGCCCATCGTTACGTCGAAATGGTTGTTGGTGGCTTTCTTAATCCATGGCTCGCCAGCGCTATACATAAATGATTTTTTAGCGTGAAGAATAATTTGTATTTCGTCCTTTGTAATATGGTGGTCATTGGATGCAAATTGTAACGCTTTGTTGAGTAGGTCTAAGTTGATGGATGGGTAGAATTCTACTATGTCAAATGTAATAAATGTTTGTTTCTGTTTGTCATTGATACTATTGAACCAATTCAACACTGGAGCAGTATTTTTCCATTGGTTAATGCGGGTGTGTTCGATGATTTTTTTCTTAATGCGGCCCAATATATGTTTGCTGATTTTACCGATTTCTGACTTCGTTGGATTAATGAGGCGGCATGTGGGTTTTATTGTCGAAATTAGGTTTGTGGTTTTTGAGGGTTATAAAAGCTTCCATTTTCGCTGTGATATTAATTCTGTCGTCGATGGCTAGTTTAGTGGCTGTTGTTTTAGCTTCAGCTTCGGTGGATATGATGTTGTCTGGGTTTGCTTTCCTATAGGATTTTGTTATATTCTTATGCAGTAGGTCGCTGTAGGCAGCTGCTTTCATTTAATAAAAATTGTTTGTCTTGTCCGCTGCGACGAGGAGGGTCTCAGATCTTCTAATATTAGCAAGCGTATTTGGGAAATAAATAACAGTAAGGCTAAATACCAGATCACTTGGAAAATCTTGAAGCAAGCGAAACCATACGGCCCTGCCACTAATAAATGTAATTTATGTTAATGTGAGAAATATTTTATAATTAATAAACCTCAACTCTCCACTTTAAACAAACGCAATGAACTTGTCTCCGCGTGCCGGCACGCAAATAATTTTATGCTTAGAAATTTTATAACATAGAACAATAGACTTCTTAATTAGAAAATTTTGGATAATAGAGCAATTTTATAGTCAACATAATTTTACCTCTATCAACATAATACCACCTTAGGGACTATACAACTTCCTGTTTTTCACCATATATACATGTTATTAGTATTTTAGCATTTTAGTCTGACGAGTGCAGCCAGTCTGTACGAAACTATTTAGTAACTAAATAAATATGCTATTTTGAACACATTGGTTTCATTCAATTTTATATATATATATATATATATATATATATATATATATATATATATATATATATATATATATATATATATATATATATATATATATATATATATATATATATATGTTAATCATCACGATTTATGGCATTTATAATTTTTATATATGTTAATCACCGTAGGTAAGTATTTTTTAGTGAACAGGAAAAATTGAGACTGAGTCGGATTCGAACCGGCGACCTCTGGGTTACAAGCCCATCGCTCTACCAACTGAGCTATCAGCCCGATGGTATATTCGAACCCAACCAGTCACAACCATTCCTGCACA